ACGAGAGCGAGGAGTACTCAGATCGTTGGATTCTCAAGTTCGCGCGAAAAGTATGTCCCGATTCCGTGCCGGCACAGATGATTCCTCGCGAAACGACAAATTCTGTAGACGAGATCAGCCAGCCTTTTTCAATGCTGGAACTCTCACTCGCGCTCCTTTCGTGTGGCAATTCGGCTCCGGGGGCTGATAGAATCAAGTTCAACTTGTTGAAGAACCTCCCAGACGTCGCTAAGAGGCGCATGTTGAACTTGTTTTGTCAGTTCCTGGAGCTCAATATTGTTCCGGATGATTGGAGGCAAGTGAGAGTTATAGCCATTAAAAAGCCTGGAAAACCCGCTTCAGATCATAACTCGTATCGTCCCATCGCGATGTTATCGTGCATTCGAAAATTGTTGGAGAAAATGATCCTTTTTCGCTTGGACAAATGGGTTGAGACGAACCACCTACTCTCAGATACTCAATTTGGATTCCGTAGGGGCAAGGGAACGAACGACTGTCTCGCGTTGCTTTCCACAGAAATTCAGTTGGCTTTTGCTAAAAAAGAGCAAATGGCTTCTGTATTCTTGGATATCAAGGGGGCTTTTGATTCAGTATCCGTTGAAGTCCTTTCAGACAAACTCCACGCTTGTGGCCTTTCTCCATTAATAAATAACTTTTTGTACAATTTGCTGTCAGAGAAACATATGAGCTTTTCTCATGGAAACTCTACAGCTTCTCGATTTAGTTACATGGGTCTCCCCCAGGGCTCATGTTTAAGCCCCCTTTTGTATAATTTCTACGTCAGAGAAATTGACAATTGTCTAAGTGACAACTGCACGTTGAGACAACTTGCAGATGACGGCGTAGTGTCTATGACAGGGCCCAAAGGGGTTGACCTGCAAGGACCCTTACAGGATACCTTAGACAATTTGTCTACTTGGGCTATTCAGCTAGGTATCGAATTCTCCACGGAGAAAACTGAGTTGGTCGTTTTTTCTAGGAAGCATAGCCCAGCACAACCAAAGCTTCAACTTTTGGGTAAACCGATCACTCATTCTATGTCCTTCAAATATCTTGGGGTCTGGTTCGATTCAAAATGCACCTGGAGATCCCACATTGAGTATCTGAGACGAAAATGCCAACAAAGGATCAATTTTCTCCGAACAATTACCGGAACGTGGTGGGGAGCCCATCCGCAAGATCTTCTAACGTTGTACCGGACAACGATTTTATCGGTTTTAGAATACGGTAGTTTTTGTTTCCAGTCGGCGGCTAAAACTCACATCATCAAACTGGAACGTATCCAGTATCGTTGTCTTCGTATCGCGTTAGGATGCATGCACTCGACTCATACGATGAGTCTAGAAGTGTTGGCGGGCATGTTGCCACTATCGGATCGGTTCTCGGAATTGTCCCTCCGGCTCCTCACCCGTTGCGAAGTTATGAACCCACTGGTAATCGAAAACTTTGAAAAGCTTCTTGAGCTGAACCCTCAAACTCGTTTTATGTCATTGTACTACGTGTACATAACACAGGATGTCAGCCCTTCACAGCATAATCCTCATCGTGTATGCTTCTCCGACTTCGGCAATTCAGTTAGTTTTGATTTATCAATGACGCAAGAGATTCGCGGAATCCCAGAGCATCATCGTTCCATGATTGCTCCGTCAATTTTCGCTGCAAAGTTTGGCCAAGTTGATTCCGCAAGATCGTTCTTCACAGATGGATCACTAATAGAGTCGTCCGCTGGTTTTGGTATTTTTAACGAATTTCATAGCGCCTCTCGAATGCTTCAAGCTCCTTGTTCCGTATATGTTGCTGAGCTGGCGGCAATACATTATACGCTAGAAACGATCGCCTCACTTGCACGAGATCATTATTTTATTTTTACGGATAGTCTCAGTTCTGTCGAGGCTATTCGCTCTATGAGGCCGGTAAAGCACTCCTCGTATTTTCTCATGAAAATACGAGAGCTTTTAAGTGCTTTATCTTTAAGATCTTTTGTCATCACCTTTGCATGGGTCCCATCTCATTGCTCGATTCCGGGCAATGAGATGGCTGACTCACTTGCTAAGGTGGGCGCTATGGAAGGCGATATTTACGATCGACAAATCGCCTACGATGAATTTTTCTTCATTTATCGTCAACAGTCACTCGTCAGCTGGCAGAATAAGTGGAGTGAAGGGAGTTTGGGACGATGGCTATATTCGATCATCCCTAAGGTGTCGAAGAGTTCTTGGTTCAAGGGGTTGGATGTGGGTCGAGACTTCATTCGTATGATGTCTCGCCTCATGTCCAATCACTATTCGTTAAACGCTCACTTGTTCCGTGTTGGGCTGAAGGACAGCAATCTCTGTGAATGTGGACAAGGTTACCAGGACGCAGATCACATTATTTGGTCATGTGCTGAGCACCGCGGAGTCAGATCCGAGTTGTACGATTCCCTTCGGGCTCGAGGTAGACAACCTAATGTTCCAGTTCGGGATATTTTGGCTAGACGCGATCTGGAGTTTATGAAACTCATATATGTTTACTTTAAGAATATTAACATTAGATTGTAAGTTTTATTAACCTTGTGTTCGGTTTGTATTTTGTATGTGTGTGTGTATTTTTTTGTAGATTTGTTTCTGTAATAATTGTATAATTACAGAGTTGATATAACGTCGATAGGATTAAGTATTTGTTTTAGAAATAGTGAAATTTTTGAATCATAAATCATATTCCAAATCTCCTTTTCCCTCTCCCGATCCAAACAATTGTCATCCACTAACCTCGAGAAGACCGCGAGTAATCGGTTCCAATCCTTTAATTTTAGATTTAAGACATTTATAATGTGTAAAGAAAATGATAACTTGGCTCTGTAAAGTTTATTCGAATGAGCCTGTACAAATAAAGTAATTAACAAAAAAAAAAAAAAAAAAAGGATTTGTAAATTTTACCGGCTTACAAAAATTAACTCATTAAGTTTGAGTTTCAATTGTGTTCAATACTCCGTAGAGTAATGCCTCACAAATTACTGAGTGCAACAACCCTGAATTTCTTCCAATCGACTGTGCTAATTTTCGACTTTGAAAAAAATAGTATACCTATTTTAATTGCACAAATCCATCAGCACCGAGCTAAAAGAAAAACAGATTGCTTTCTTTGTTTCGTTTGGATTTCATATCCGGTATCCGGTAGTGTCGTTCCGCCATCATGGTGTAAGTAATATGTGGTCGTCGTAGTCACTGCCCGCCGCCAGCTACACAACCTTGATGACTTTCGTTGAAACCGTCCGAATGGAATTCAAGACTGGGCTGCTGCACCTCTCCAGGTGTGGGTCTGCTTTGCCTTCTGTCTCTCGAGTGAACTTTTTCTTCGATTTCATATTGAATGGATAGTTTCAGATGAACTTGCCACGGATCTCGATCTTCGACACTCGATTTTTCATCGGAAAGGGCCGTAATGAAAACGATCGAGCTGAAAGGAAAATTAATATGTTATTACATCTCTTACTGTGGAAGAAATTATTTGCGAAAACGAAGGAGAAGCAATGTGAACCCGGCGTAAAAAAAAAGAATAAAACATCCAGAGTGACAGATACGAAGAGGAGAAAATCGCTTTGACCAGCCGGTTTCGTGTTTCCGGATGTGTTTAGGTCCGGATGCACGCAGTAAATTTTCGATTTTAAAGGTCGACCGGTGTGTGCTGTAAGTCGTCGGTGTCTGGGGTAGAGACTGCCTTTGTACATTCGTGTGCCAATGTGGAGGGAAACGAAATTGGCGTAAAACATTTATCTGTGTACGTACATAAACGACGTACGATCATGACGAAAGTAAAATAATTAGCAAGGAAACCAATCGATCAGCAGTGGATATGATATTTTTTTTAATCGAAAACTGTAAAATTGGTGTAAATGCGAAGATAATGCAATTTTCATGTAATCACCCAAAAACTGAATTTGAAACGAGAGCCATTGGCTTCAGAAAGTAAAGATCTTCAATCTTCAAAAGTTAATCGCTTGCCGACTGTCCCGCCAATTCAGGTAGCCAACTGTAGTTTTCTATCTCCATGGTAGTTTTTACGAGCGATGACAACCTTGTCTGTTCCCTTGTAAAAAAACATTCAACATCAAGTAAGACGTGCCATAAACCGTACACCTGCTTTGCGTTTGCATGCCGTAAGGTACAAAAGAATTTCTTCCGAAACAATCTATCTCTTCAACTGTCCAAAATCACCTTTCTATGGTTATGGCTCCACAGGAAATAGTTGTTCCCCTTCACACAAGCGAAGGCATCCCAAAAATCTCCTCATAAAAAAATATCCCAAGAAAGCAACGACCAGAGGGGTGGGGTAGGTGTCAATTTTGTCTTTGTCTCGTTTGTTTTGCTTGTCCGAAACACGCAAAGCAAGTTGGGAAAAAAATCTGCACGACACTTTGCAGAAAACAAGTTCTCTGGGGAGATCCTCCGTCATGATTTGGGAAACTGAAGCAACTCTCGTTTGAACATCTTGTTCGACACTGACCCACAGACATAGGCAACTCGGTACGTACCAACTAGTCAGTGATGTAACTCTTTTTCTAAGACCCGGGACTTGCCTCGACCGAGCAATAAATAAATAAGCTGAATTTTTACGACTCTTCTATTCTACCTTTTCAGTCTTCTAAGAGATGAACTAGCCTCAGGCTAAAAATCTCTAAAATAAAGACAAAAAAAAAAAAAAAAAATTTTTCAGTCTTCTCCTCTTCTTGTAGCTCTCCGGGTAGTATGTTTTTTTGCCGTTGTTGTTCTTCCGGAGAATCAGTGTGTTTCACACAGAAAGGAAAGATTTCAGGTCGTGTTTTGTGGTGTTATTTTCCATTCCTAGTTCAGTTTTTTTTACTACCACACACCAACACGATACCGAAACAATAATACAGACCACAAAATAAAATAGAATCCTCGGATAAAACAACACCCGAGATTCGACGTTGCACTGAAACTGGGAGTGATTAGTAATAGTAAAATTTCGGTTTCTTTTCTCTGCCGTCTCTTCTGCAGGTTAAACTGCTGCTGCTAGGTGCGGGCGAATCCGGTAAATCCACCTTCCTCAAGCAGATGCGGATTATCCACGGGATCAAGTTCGAACCCGAACTAGTTAAGGAGTATCAACATGTGATCTACCAAAATATAGTCAAAGGTGAGTGCATTGTGTGATGAGTTATTAGTGACTACATGTTTTAGTGGATTCTAAGTATGCTATCCTAACACGAAATTATGCTCAATTTTTGATCAATAAATTATCGCACCGTTATCCGATGAGATAATCCCATGTGTTGTTTCTCTGTCGGTTTCCGTTCCAATTGGTGTTTCCATTTACCGGCCATTTTGTTGTTTACTTATGAAGATATTTGACGTTTTTGCGTATGACTGGTATTCGTGACCTATGTCAGAAACTGGCTCTAATGTGTTCGAATATGCGATGCATGGGCTCGACTCTAATTTCAGGGCTGTTAAAACAGGCGCGGATTTCGTGATTTTCACGAATTTGTCGTGGATTTGACCTTTCAGTCGCGAAAAAGCATTAAATGATGTCGCGAAAATCGCGAAGGGACTGATGTGCTGTCACAAAAATTGTGGAATTCATTGTAACCTTTCCGTCCCGGATTATTTTGCTGTCATCAATTGTGTTGTTCATTAGGCTCTCAACTTTTTACCACCCTGCAAATGATCGAGAAATGATCTCAATTCCATAAGTCACACCGGATTTACACGGAAATTCCCTGGGGTCTGTCCAATGTGAGACTATTTCATGTTTTTTTTTTATTTCCAATATGAACATAGCATTTTTCGTTCCCTCCCCTTGGCTAGTTTTTGCACCTTGTTGTAGGTGGACGGGCTTAATTTCATGCTTTATAGTAGAGTGTTGGAGACGGTTGGTTTATGACCGGCGTTGCTGGCTCATGCCGCGATAGAATGGCGCCATGGGCAGGCAATGGGGATTACTAAGCTTCCCCTCTCTGATGAACCACTGCATGAGAAAACCAAAGATCTAGTCCAGCAGTGATATATCACACTTGTTACTCCTTTGTTTGAGAGCCGCGTCGTAGTACGCTTACGTATAGGCACTGACGTTGGGTGCGATACTGGTGGGTTTTGCCGCAAATCACTCTTTTTTTTTTTTACGCATATAGATTTATTTGGGTTCTTCAACTTGCGTGACAAGCTTGCATTGTTGTTTTCATTGAAGAATTACTCAGGGAACAACGTTAAACACCATTTGTGTACATGGTAGGGGAAATGCTCCTATAGTTGCGGTACGTTAGAAGCGTTAGGTTCCTATAGTTGTGCATGGAGGCTCAATACACAAATATAGGACCCTAACGCTTGTAACGTACCGCAACTATAGGAGCGTTTACCCTATTGTATCTAATCTTATATGTGCTTCATTTTGATTTGGGATAAGTGGCTCGGGATTTCCTCTATGGTGTGCTTCTATTGTATTGTGACATACTCATATGTATTTTTGTAGTGCGACATAGTGGAAACGTGAGAGCGTACTTGTAGCATATACCCTTGAAATTTAAAAATCAGCTAGGAAACTAACTTCAAAGTGAAGCATTTTAGTCACTTGAAGGTGTCACCTGGGTATGCTTGGCATACACAGTTTTGGTCACGAACTGCTCATTTGCTAATAACTTTGCACACAGTTAGCGTTAGCGTTAGCGTTGTTATGATATACTTCGTAGATTGGATACTAGCGACACTCACGTCTCTTCTGAAATTCTCAGTTAGACTACTTTCAGGAATAATGCTGGGGAGTAAACATTGGTTCCAATCTAAACAAGAGTAACAGAAGCATGACTGTCGCTATTCCCGGCCACGCCCATCTTTACCATAACTAGGGATAGGGAAGGAAATGTTGATGTAGTACTTACTTAACGACAGGCCACCGACTTAGCGACACCCTCATAAGTGCTACGGAGTTCGAGGGTTGGGTAGGGTATTCGGTTAGGATTCACCTCAAGTTGGCGATGCAACCAAAAGTATGTATTGTTTATTTGTTGTTTATTTAATCTCTCGATAGCCGGCTATCGAAAGAACATATTAATTTTGTTTAGTGATAATGAATTTTAAGAGTCATGACGGAGAGCTTGAGATTAAACCCATGATTTTCTGCTCAGTAAGCAAAAACGATCCCTCCAGGGTCATCGAGCATCTAATAAACATAACACTTCGCGACAAAACACGACTATGTTTTCGCTTGATATGCAAATAGTTTCCGAGGTTAATCTTCAATATCAAATATACAAATGATGGTGGCGATTTATTGTGCTGTAGAAGAGCTTGGGGTTAAATCCATGATTTTCTGCTCAGTAAGCAAAATCGATTCCTCGAGGGTCATCGAGTATCTTATAATCCACAGCGCTTTGAATAACAAAAGATGTGCGTCTAACTTTAAAAATTGTCGCATTAATTGCCGTTCGCTCATTTTCAACTTCTATTCAATTTTCATACTGCCGTACTCTAACGGAACTATCCACCTACTCTCTTCTAAAGATCATTCTCTAGCTAATAAATTATCACACTAAAGCTTTATGTTAGCATTTCCAACCAACTCTGAAAATCGCTAGCTTCGCGTATGAAGTAACATAAAAACACTTTGAAAATATATTATATTATAATAAATATACGTCAAGGTCAAAAACAACTTGATACACGTTAACCGACCTCTCCAATCCCTTCCCATGGCGTTCAAGTGGTTCGCATAGACTATTCAGCCATTACCCTTCCCTTATCATCGGCTTTGGATTGACTTGCGCTCACATTGCCCCACCAAACGCTGCAAAATGAAAATGAAATATGAACATAGCATTTTTCGTTGCCAAATCATAAACGAATCGTATATATGCGAGTAATTGCCATGTATACCGGATATTCTAGGTTCTCCAAATCGTCCTGGAGTTCAGTTGGTTTTTTCTACTATATCAACCAAGACTGTAATAATGTCTGTAGCATCTAAATATGTCCAAACAGATTCAAAGTGTCTATGTGGATCGTGCCCGACCTATTGCTACGTATACAAGATGTTACTGGTTCTGAAATCATTATGGAGATCAGATTTTTTTTTCTACTAGATCACGCAAGACTGATGCAATATCTGTAGTATCGAAATATGTCCAAACAAATTTGCAGTGTCTATGTGGATCATGCCAACCTATTTCCGTGTAGGATTTCCAAATCGATTTTTCGATAGTACAGATATTATCCCAGTCTTTGTTGATCTAGTAAAAAAAATCATCTGAACTGCCTGCAGGATGATGTGGAGAACCTAGATCATCTGGTATACGTGGAAATAAATCATACCTTATCCATACAGATGCACATGTCTGGAAATATTTCGATACTAAAAACATTGTCCCAATCTCGGTTGATCTAGTAGATCAAATTATCTTATCTCCAGGACGATTTATTTATTTATTATTATTATAGTCCATCTGACTTGATAGTCTCAATGAAACACTTAAATCTAAATATAGTCACTCATTAAAAATTAAAAATTGGTCAACAGCAAACGATGACGAAACATCGAGGCATTGATGTCAAAGTCAAATAGGTCAGAGGCTTCGTTGAATTGATGAATCATGGCGACAAAGGAACTGTTTGCAGCATAGTTGGTTGCATGTACTACTTCATGTAGCAAGGTTCTCGGACGGAGTGTTCGGGCAGGAGCATACAGATTAATTTTGGCCAGTAACTCAGGAACATCATATTCTGCGAGTAAAACTTTAGCAACGAAGACGACCTGCGATATGTTTCGTCGCTTAGCAAGAGTATTCAAACCCAGTAAACGACAGCGGTCAGCATACGGTGGTAAATTCAGCGGGTCACTCCATGGAAGATAGCGCAGTGCGTATCTGACGAATTTGCGTTGAACAGCTTCGAATCGTCCACTCCATACAGCTTGGTAGGGATTCCAGACAACACACGCGAAATGAACAGTAAAGGGCTTTTAAACACAGAGGATCACGAAATTCCTTAGATATCTTGAACATGAATCCAAGCTGTCGATTAGCTTTGTCGATCATGGTTGAGAAGTGGCGAATGTATGTGAGCTTTTCATCCAACATGACACCGAGGTCTTTAACGTGATCGACACGTTGAACTGCAGTTCCAGCAACGTTATAATCAAACAAAATGGCAGTCCTAGTTCGACGTAAACTAATTACGCAGCACTTTGAGACGCACAGGACCATAAAATTACGTTCACACCAATCATTAAAGATTTCAAGAAGGTTTTGTAGTTCTAAACAGTCGGCTTTGCCTCGAACGACTAGATAAATCTTCAAGTCATCGGCAAAAAACAATTTACCTCCACGTAGTAGAATAAACGTTACATCGTTCACAAATAAAGAGAAGAGCATTGGTCCCAAAGTGCTACCCTGTGGAACTCCTGATCTGTTCGAGAAACAGTACGATGAGTAGTTTCCAATGCATACAGTAACTTCACGTTGCACGAGGTACGATCTAAGCCAGCTGCAGAAGGAAACAGAACATTCAATTTTTTCAAGCTTTGCTAGCAGAACGTCGTGCACAACTCTATCAAACGCAGCTTTAAGATCAGTGTAGATGGCATCCACTTGAAGTTTCTTGCATACATTTTCCATACAGAACGACGTAAAGCTGACGAGATTAGTTTCCACGGAGCGGCCAGGAAAGAAACCATGTTGACATGTACTTATGTAATGCTTGCAGGAAGCAAACAATCTCTCATTTATCAGCGACTCAAATACCTTAGATTCAACCCCAAGAGAGGTAATCCCACGGTAGTTTTCCACATTGCGTTTGTCTCCTTTCTTGAAAACAGGGAACATAGTAGACCGTTTCCATAGTGCGGGAAATTTCTGTTGACGAAGTGACAGGTTGAAGAGCAAGGACAACGGAGCAGCTAAGATATTGGAGCATTTTTTTAGGACTGCAGATGGAATAACAATCGGACCAGGTGAAAATGATGATTTGGTTCTACTCATCACAGAGAGAACCATTTGTACATCTACGGCAAAAACATCCATGTTTACGACGTCGGTTGGCACATCACGGACGGCTCGCTCAATTTCTGCTTGCGATGGGGAGTCATTCGAGAAGACGCTTAAGAAGTGCCTAGCAAATAGGCTGCATTTGTCCTCAGTTGTCAATGCT